GGCCAGCCTGGCATTAAGGCCTCTGAAGAAAAAAGCAATTCATCGTCCCCCAAAGTAATTTCTGTATCACCTGGTGGTCAAAGCTGGGAAGTTTATCCATGTGTCTAACCTCAATGTCTCATGCTCTAGTTAAAGTTATTTACTTCTTTGGGACATTAGGAAAAAATGGAAAAGAGCTGCCCTATATCCTCCTAAACAAGAATATTCAAAGAGCCAAAACTTAGTCTGGGATAGGCCACAATCTCTGTTCCCTTCTTCCATTCCACCACTAGCCTCTCTGCTCCAGCTATGGCCAGGCTGCATTTCCAGTCTTTTTTGATCTAGTACCTAGACCCTCCCTGAAATAATATGCTGCAGTTTTCCATCCTAGAAGTTAACAGACTATAGGTCTATTCTGAGAGGAAGTTCCACTTCCCATCTCCCATAGAACCCCGCCCAACACTTGGCTACTGCCTAATTCCTGGTCTCCGAGCCCCTCCCCTCATCCTGCTTCCAAGCCCCTTGCATTTGGGGCTGAGAAATTCTTGGACATATCTGACATAGTAGTCTCATTTTTCGAATATTCACTCCATAGAGGTGGTAAGATTTAGCAAGTGATAAGAAATCTCCCATCACCGCCCTCTCTCAAAGGTACACACACTTTCTACTCAAACTCTGAGGGCTAATCACTTCCTCTTCAGTGTGCCCAGAGTGCTGTGTTTATGACTTGTTCACAACGTGCTTTCAGTTTGATTTATACTATAATTATATGCCTGTATCTCCCAGTACTAGACAGTGAACAACATGAGGGCAAAGAATCGTCTAATTCACCTCTGCCACTCCCTACAGTGCCTAGCACGGGAATGACACACAGCAGACATCAGTAAATGTTTATTGAATTGAAAAATGAAAGTGAGTTAAAGACGGTGGTCTAACTCAAGACTCTATCTTCCTCTAAGCCATCCTGTTTCAGTAAGGAGGAAAAAAAGAGGTAAGAATATTCGCTTTCTTCCCCAACACACTCTACCTCTCAGAAGGAAGCGCCTCCACCCCAAGCACAGCCTGGTCTCTACCAAGGTGAGTTTGTGTGTGTTGGGGTGGGATTCCATGGCTCCTCTGAAGCAGAACTTGAAATCACCATCACCAGGCAAAAAGCAACAAACCCCAGAGAAACTAATGTTCCTGGATGGGCACCTTGGGGTAGATTCATGCATTCCTTGCATGTTCATTCTAAACATCTTCTCTGTGTCAGGTGTAGGGTTACATACTGAGGAAAGGAAGGTAAGAGACCCTCTCCTTGCCTTCAAGGCACTGAGGGCAATCCTGCCTTAACCTTGGCTGCCTTTCAGTAGCACCAAGAGATTTTGTTGAAGACAGACACCAGGATGTACTTCAGACCTCGCAAATCAAAATCTCTGGAGGTGGAGCTTAGGCCCCTGCATTTTTTTAAAGCTCCACAGGTTAATTTTGATTCACGGGCAGGGTTGTAAGCCACTGATCTCTAGATCAGTGCTGTCCAATAGAACTTTCTGTGATAATGGAAATGTTTTGTATCCACTGGCCATGTGTGGCTATTGAGTACTTGAAATAAGGCTAATAAACTAAGGGGTTGAATTTTTTATTTTACTTAATTTTAATCAATTTAAAACAGCCACACATGGCTAGTGGCTACTGTATTGGTCTGCAAAACTCTAAATGACTCCAAATTATTTCAATTTGGCTTTAGAATACTTTTCACAATACTGTAGCTGCTAAGTCTCCTTCTGCTCAGGAAAAACAATGAGCTTCCTTTCCCTAAGGATACTTGGTTTGCACTGAAGAAACTACTCTAGAATGAACGGGGGTGGGGGGGGGGGGAGGTAAAGGCCAATCTGGTGGGATTAAGTCCCATCAGCTAGCTAAGCCCCTAGACCAGCTTCCAATCCTCCAGACTGGAAAGAAGGCACTCCTAAGTTTGTTTGAGGTTTGCATTGGGGGAGGACAACAAAAGCAGCGACATGACTTAGGGGACCTGTCATAGATTGAATTATGTCCTCCAAAACTCACATGTTGAAGCCCTGATATGACTATATTTGGAAACAGGGCATTTAAAGTAGTACTTAGGGTTAAATGAAGTCATAAGGATGGGGCCTGAATCCAAGTGACTGGTGTCCTTCTAGGGAGAGAGAGATACCAGTAAGGTGCACACACAGAGAAAAGGCTATGGGAGGACACAGCAAGAAGGCAGCTGTCTTCAAGCCAAGGACAGATGCCTTAGGAGAAAACAAACCTGTCTTGATCTTGGACTTCCAGGCTCCAGAACTGTGAGAAAATAAATTTCTGTTGTTTAAGCCACCCAGTCTGTGGTAGTTTTGTCATGGCAGCCTTGGCAGACTAATATAGTGCCCTTGGGAAAAGGCAGGCCCAGGAACCTAATCAGGCCCTCCCTGACAAGATGCACCTCAGCGATTGAGGACAACAGCCCCACTAAAAGCCAGACCCAGCAGTGACTCTGCCATACCCAGGCCTTCAAGTCACCATCCTTGTCGCTACTGTCCAAGCGCCTCTGTGCATGACCTGAAGACCCCAACTCTACGCTTTCACCCAGACCCTATGCCCCTAGATGTCCTCCCTATAAACTGATCCCCCTTTTCCCATTCCTTACCCTATTGCACCCACACTGCCTCCTACATGGCCTGCCCCTTCATCTCCTTCTGTGGTTTTCTACCTCTTGTTGGGTGTTTTCAGCGTGTGTTCTGTGCATCTCACTTCCCCCACTGAGCTTTAAATTCTCAAAGATTATTCTAGCAATCAAGACCCTTCACAAGCTAGCCTCGACTTACCTCTCCAGCTTTTTCTCCCAATTGGGCCAACACTAATCTATTTGACACCCCTCAAATACAACAATGCTGTTCTCTAAGTTCTCCAAAACCTTCCCCGTCTTTAAGGCCACCTAAAATACCACCTCTTCGAGAGAGCTTTCCCTGACTACCTCAGCTAAATATATAATGGAATCATGACTTCTATCCCTGTGTAATTACTCTACAGTGTCTAATCCAGTGCTCTGTATTCATGATTCCCTACTTAGCACTCTAGCACTGACAGCCGAGGGGAAAAGGAGTCTAAGGCATGTGAAAGTACGATATTATAATGCAATTCTGATGCCAGCCACCTAGAGTTAGTGCACACTCTACAGGTTTAAGGGCACAGTCTCCAACAAGGCTGCCCTCAGTTCAGATGAGTCATAAGCCTCGGGATCCCCAAGCCACCTGCACTTCTGACCAAAACTGGCTACAAATTCAGGGGTTCCCACAACCCCCTCAGGTTCAATAACTTGCTAGAATGACTAGAAACACAGATGTAGGAAAACACTATACTTATGATTAGAGTTTTATTATAAAGAATACAAATCAGGACCAGCCAAGTGAAATGTAAGGTGAGGTCTGAGAGTGTCCCAAATAGAGATCTGTGTCCTTTGCCCATAGAATCAGGAGAGGTCACCCTTCCAGCACATCCATGTGTTCATCAACCAGGAAGCTGACCAAAACTTCAGTGTCAAGAGTTTTTATTAGGCCGGGCACGGTGGCTCACACCTGTAATCCTAGCACTCTGGGAGGCTGAGGCGGGCGGATCGCTCAAGGTCAGGAGTTCGAGACCAGCCTTAGCAAGAGCGAGACCCCGTCTCTACTAAAAATAGAAAGAAATTATCTGGACAACTAAAAATATATATATAGAAAAAATTAGCCGGGCATGGTGGCGCATGCCTGTAGTCCCAGCTACTCGGGAGGCTGAGGCAGGAGGATCGCTTGAGCCCAGGAGTTTGAGGTTGCTGTGAGCTAGGCTGACGCCACGGCACTCTAGCCAGGGCAACAGAGCCAGACTCTGTCTCAAAAAAAACAAAAAAGTTTTTATTAGGGTTTCACTACGTAGGCATGATTGATTAAAAGCACGGGACATGTGGTTGAACTCAATCTCTAACCCCTCTTCCCTCCCTGGAGATCAAGCTGATATCACCCAGCTCAAAGTCTAATCACATGGCTGGTCTTTCTGGCATGGTCAGCTTCCATCCTCAGTCAAATCTTAGGATAAACTCAAGTGTGGTCTGAGATCAAATTTCAATATAAACTTAGGTATGGTTTAAGGTCAAATCTCTACATAAATTCAGGTGTGGTTTGAGGGACCCACCATGAATAAGAAAGGCACTGCTATCACTTGGGAAGTTCTAAGTATTTAGTGTTTCCCTCACAATAACTGAGACAAAGGCCAGGCAAATTCTTTGTTATACAATGAAGGGGGAAGAGAGTTTATGCTAAAAATCTTATTAATTTTGAAAGCTACAGATCATCTGTGTCCTAGGAGATGGGAAGTAGACCATGTGTTCCTCATTAAGGTGGTCTCAAGACCTGCTCCACTCCCAACTTGGTCCACTTTCCCAGTCCTTATGAAAGGGGCACCCAACTAGCCATTTAGCAGACATAAAAAATGAGTTAGAAACCAGGCACCCATCCGCCCCATCACCTGCTCCTCACAGTGCCCTGCATATCACACAAACTACTGAGTAGGCCCCTGATGGAGACCATGCAGCTTTGGTAAGGCAACTAGATATCTGCTACATCCTTATCTCAGCTACCCAAAAGAACCCTTTGCAAACAACGAAGAGGTAAGAGAGGTGAAAATCTAAACTACCTCCCACGCCTGACATGCAGGAGGGGGCAAAAAGTACCAAGACAAAAGGGTTTAGGAGCTTTTAATGCTGTGTTTTCATAAAGTCATTGGTCCATCTCTGGCAGGGCAAGAATGTGCCCCTCGCCCTGGCCACAGGTGGAAGCTCAGACTCCCCCATAGCAAGGTCTTCAGAGTGGAGAGGGGCTTCCCTTGTAGTGTAGTGCAGTGACACCCCAACCCAGAAGCAAGAATGCAAGGAGAAGAATACATAATGAGCACCCATATGCCAGGCCTATGCAAGGCACTTTCCAGTGTTTTCTCAGTTAATCCTCACACCAACCCCATGAGTAGGCATCCCCATTTTACAGATGAGGAATCCTGAGGCTTAGAGAGGCTAATCAATTTGTCCGTCATAAAATGCACAAGTCTGTCAAAGCTGGGATGAAAATCCAGGTCTTCTGACTTTCCCACTCCGCCACACTGAATTCTCCCTCTGGTCCAGCCTCAGCTTCCCATAAGTTCACTTTTAATATCATGTCCCATGTATGTCCTGGCCCTCTGAGGAAAGGCGTTAGCAGCAGGATGGGTAGGGATCCTGGCAAGATTCCTCTGAAACAGCAAATATGACCTTAGAAGTCACTGTCTAGGTCACTCTCCGCTGAATAGCGTTTCCCAAGGAAACAATGAGGTAGAGCAGTCTGCGAGTGCAACAGAGCCCACCTTCTGTCGATTCTCTGTGGAGTCAGATACCACAAAAGGGGCAATGCTCAAAGGAAGGTGAAGAAAGCAGGAGTCAGGAAGGCGAACAGAAGTAGTGTCAAAACTGCCACGGCAGGTTGGAAGACAGTCAACAGATCAAAGAACATGTTTCCCAGCAACCGGGGAGCCCAGGACCTTTTGGCTCTCATCCAGGAGGTGTCTTGTCATCTGCTTGCTCAAAAATGACTCGGAAGCCTTGAATACGTCCTATGCCAGGCCCCAGGGGTATTCATTTCGATAGCAGGGACAGCAGCCCCAACTCATTCAGTCTTTCCTTGGCTACTGCCTCCCAGCCCTTGTTGGCCTGGGGGTTACGGGGAGAGGGATACAGCAGCCCCTCCACCTGGACCTCTGGCATCAGGCCTGACAGAGCCCGCCGTGCCCACTGCTCCACCAGTCGCCCCACTCCCACCACCAGCCGCACCCCCAGCAGCTGCACCTGCCGGCAGAGGGCTGCGTCACAGATCCCAAGAAGCTGCTCTCGTTGCTTGGCAGGCAGCTCAGCAGGGGTGAGGTTGCGCCCGCTGGGAGTCAGGAAGAGCAGAGGACACAGATTGTGGACAAAGCAGTGACGGAAGAAGACCTCAGGCTGTCCACAGAGGTTCTGGAAAAAGCCCCAGAATCGGGCACCGCTCACCTCTGACTGTGGGCACTCCAGTCCCAGCACTGGTCGTTTAGGGTGCTCTTGGGGAGGGGTCAGCACAGGCCCCCCAATGCCCAACCAGTCCCGGACCATGCTCACTTCCCCAAAGGGCACCTGTGAGTAAGGAGAGAAGCATGAGTCTTCATACCAGAGACCTGATGCCTGGGCTCTGGATCAACTGACCCCTACGCACCTTCCCTGAGGATCCAGCCGGGACCCATCCACCCACACCTCCACCTGAGACAAGGATTCCTGGCCCTGCGGTTTGAGCCTGTCCGTCTTTCTCCAGTGTTTCATTATGGCCTGTGATCCAGAAGAATCTATTTGTTTGCCTCTATCCTCACTAGCCTTTGGGACCAAGTACAGGGAGTACATTGAGATATCTGGCCCTACATAGGGATTCATGGTTAGTATTAGGGACAGACAGATGGCCTGAGACAGAAAGGCAGCTGGAATTAAAGAAGGTACTAGGGCAGGGCTCACCACTGCTCTCTGGGTGCCCTCTCAGCCCCAGGCCTCAGACTGTCATTTCCATCGATCATTATTGATCACCTTTCATCACCCAGTCGGGGTCAATAAAAGCGATTGAGCCTCCTGCCCTGAAGCCTCTTCCCCTCCCGCCTCCCCCCCCCACCAAGCACCCCCACTGAGGGTGAGTCACTCATCCCCAGCTCTGAAAGGAAAGCAGGCAGGCCCTGGAGCCTGGCTCTGGTTTGAACCTCTCCTCAGCTAAGAAACAGAACCCAGGTTGCCAAAATGCCCTGCATCTCTTACATACCCACCCCTATCAACCAGTCTCTGAGGTCCCAGCAGTCCCAGTCCCTCTTCTGACCCCAACCACACCCTAGGGACAGGGGAGATCCGGCAAGGTAAGGTTAAGATGGAGCTGGCGGAAGGAAAGGCTCTCAGAGGCAATTAGGGGACAGCTCACAGGGAAAACGGAACTACCATTAATGTGCTTGGTTAATTATGGGTAGAGAAGCCAGGAGAGTGTCTGAGACCACAGGAGCCAGTGTATGTACTGGGAGAGGCTGGGGCGGGGGACCCACGCATGTCCACAGCCATGCACATGCTCCTCCTCCACATCACACCAGCCAAGCATCCACCTGGGAGCCTCACATTATACCCACTGGAGAAGCCAAGCCCTTTACCCCAGTCTGGGCCATGCCAAAAGGTCCCGGGTTCATCCCCAGGAAGAGAACTTGCTTGGGGTCCTGGCAATAGCGAGTCACATAGTTGCGATGTGGCTCCCACGCATACTCCACAGGATTGTAGATGATGCCCACTGGCTCTGAAAACTGCAACTGGCTCAGCTCAGCATTGAGCCGAAGCTCCTCCTCCAGGAAGCCCTCAGCCAAGCTTCGAGGGCAGGGCTGGGGCTCCATCAGGGCACCTGTAGGCTCATGGAGGGATCCCAGTGGGAAAGCCTGGGGCACAGCCATGCTGCTGTCACCTGGAAAAGAGACAGAGAGAGGCTTCATCAGCCCTCAGCCACAGAGCCAGTGCCCCTACTGGGCTCAGGAGGGACCCTGAGCGACCATGTCAGTCATCCACCAACTGCCAAGCAGGACTGAGCTCATCTCAGTTCTTGATAATGAAGGTCCTTCCCCTCCCCACTTCTAGTATACTTGCTCTTCACATATCACCTGGAGATGACAAGCCGTAACCACCAGACACCCCCCACTCCAAACCTCCTTTCCATCAGGCATAGGTCTGAGTCACGAGTTCCTAGGCCACGCCAAGCACATAGTAGGTTCTCCACAAACATTTACTGGTGGCATCCTTTCAGCACCTTTAATGTCATCCTTAATTAAAATTAAAAAAAAAAGCCTAGCCAGGATGGGGTGTGTCCTGGAAACCACAGTGCTAAAGAATAACACAGGTGCACAGCCACAGCCCAGAGGCCTAGGAGGGCGAATTACAATAGCTTCCAGGTGGTGAGCTATTGCTCCGCACCAGGTACACCTCACTGATCCTCACAACAACCCCATGAGGTGGGTATTACTGCTCCCATGCTACAAGTGAGGACACTGAAGCTTAACAAGATTAAGCAACCTGTCCAGGGTCATACAGTTAGCAAACAATGAAGGTCTGGATTTGAACCCAATCTATCTGGCCCAAGGCTATGCTCTTAATCAGCCACATCATCTTGCCTTAGATGGTTTGATCAGCCACCCCACTAATTCTACAACCCCCTAACCCCAGCCCTGCTTCTTTCCGGGCATTCAAGAATAGTGAGTAAAAAGTCAATTAGCATTAAAAAAAAAAAAAAAGAATAGTAAGATATCACCAGACTCAGAATATTCTTGCAATTTATGCAACCATGGTTAGAGCCTCAGGTTTCCTCACCCAAATACTAAGAATAATATTACCCACTTCATAATGTTGATATAAGGATGGAATGAGATGTTATGTGTCAGTGAGGGGAAGAAGAGGGGAAAGGGAAGAAATAGGAGAGGAAGTGGAAAGAAGTGGAAAGAAGTGGAAAGGGGAGGGAAAGGGGAGAGGAAGGGGAGAGGAAGGGGAGAGGAATCTGCATTTTAAGCAAGCTTCCTCAGGTGATTCTGATGGTTGGTGAAAGCTGAGAAGCACTGCCTGTCACCATGGCTTCTTCATGAATTCACACCTTACTTCCCCAACTAGACTCAGGCAGATCAGGGGTCAGCCCTGTTCAATTTCCCTCCATAAGTCCAAGGCCCTGGCTCCTATTAACTATTCAACAAACACCTGCTCAGCTCTGTCCATCTCTTCTTTTTCAATCTTGTTTTTTGTTTTTTTGAGACAGAGTCTCGCTCTGTCACCCTGGGTAGAATGCAATGTCATGATTATAGCTCACTGCAATCTCAAACTCCCGGGCTCAAGCAATCCTCCTGCCTCAGCCTTCCGAGTAGCTGCGACTGCAGGCATGTACCACCACACCTGGCTAAATTTTTCTATTTTTGGTTGAGACAGGGTCTCACTCTTGTTCAGGCTGGTCTCTAACTCCTGACCTCAAGCAATCCTCCTGCCTTGGCCTCCCAGAGTGCTAGGATTACAGGTGTGAGCCACTACACCTGGCCTCTCAAACTTGTTTAAAACTACCCTTCTACCAAGAAGCCATTCCTGATGGATTCCTCTCCACTTCTACATCCTGAGTTCACTCAAGGTTCAGCTGCCTACTTTGTACTCTGCTTGCTTTCCAGGGCTTGGCAGGCTCTAAGTGTGTTTCCATCATATCTGGGCCTCCCATGTGGCAAGGACCATTGTTCTTCCTCCTTCTCAATCACCTGTGCAGGTCAAGAGTGACCTCTTCCCCCAAATGAGACCTCAGTGTTAACACAACAGCTTAATCAATGAAACTATTCTCTAACCTTAGCCTAGGGGAAATGGGAGAGAAAAATAAATCCAAGGCCAAACTTAGGAAGTCCTTCCCCAGACTGATATCAGAAGTCTTTAATCTGTCCAGGTGACTACCCAGGATGAGCTGGGCTCATATGAAAGCTGATAAGGGAGCTGTGGAGAACTCAAATGTTTCAAGGAACCTTGCTTTGCATTACCCCATGTAGCACCAACATTAGCAGATTGGCTGCTCCAGTTCCAGGATCTCTTTCAAGTTCTAAGTTGGGTCTACTTCTGACATTTAGAGACCTGTGCTGGAGACAGCAAGGTTGGGGTACACAACAAGTGGTAAGGTCTTACTTCCAGTGTTCCAGAGTTTCAAAGCCTGATCTGACAACAAGAGCTATAGGCTAGAAGCCAACTGACTTTAATTCTAGTCCCAGTTTCAACTCTAAGAAAGTTCTCTTGAGCGAGTCATTTAACTCTCCTCTTCATGAAAATCACATATTCCATCCAACCTACTACCACCTGTTAACTCATTTATTTTCTTCAATATTTATGAGTCTCTTGGTGGGGAAGAAATCCAAGATGAATAAAATGTAGGCCAGGCTTTCAGTAAGCTCATAAACTACTGTGAGAGCACTGATACACAACTAACTGTAATACAGTGTGCTTTGAGATTTAATATCCTGAACACTATGGGAGCCCAAAGGAGGAACTCGGAAGTTCTACCTAAAGTCACCAAGAGCCAGAGGCTTAAGAAATGTAGATACTTTATAAAATACAGTGTCATATTACATTAAGCACAAAGGCAGCAGAGTGTGACCTAAAGATAAGTCTGGCCACCAAGGCCGTACTTCAGACTGATGTCAGACTTGTCTGACATCAATCCAGTAAGTGAGGAAGGAATTGAAAACACTATCCATTCCCTTGTCCCTTGGAGGCATTCAGAAAATCCTTTTTCTTCTTCTTTTTGTTTTTTTTTTTTTTTTTTTTGAGACAGGGTCTCACTCTGTCGTCCAGGCTGGAATGCAGTGGCCAATCATAGCTAACTATAACCTCCAACTCCTGGCCTCAAGTGATCCTCCCGCCTTGGTCTCCCAAAGCACCAGGATTACAGGTATAAGCCACCGTGCCCAGCCAATAAGAAAATCTTAAACTAATGATAATGATATAATAGTAATAATAGAGCGCGGACTCAAAAAGATCATTTCATCCCTTCTCCTGGTACCGAGGAGGCCGACAGCTAAGGCACCACACAAAACCTCCGCCTGCGCCCGCTAGCCCCGCCCAATGGGAAAGCCTTGATCCCGCAGGCCTCCTGGCGGTTCCGTAGGCTGGGCTACCCCCGCACTGGGTCTAGCCCCAGACGGAGCAAGGGGCCCCACGCACAGCCACTCTGACTACCCGCTCGGCTGAGTCCCGAGAGCCCCGGGATCCCTCAGCTCGCCCCCGGCTCCCAGCCTTTTACTTCCTCACCTGGTCCAGCTCCCCATCTTGTTTCCGGTTCCTTTCCCCACCCCCGGCGCGAAGGGCAGTGGGAGTCGTAGTCTACATTATTTAAGGAAGGCGATTGGCGTAGCCGTGGCCACTTCCGCCGGAAATGCTCAAATCTCCGGAAGGGGTGCTGAGTTTGCCCTAAGTGACGCTGGTGGTTGTAGTTTGTTTTTTCCATCAGGGTTAAATCAAGAAGTCTGGAGAAGTGAGAGGCCAGGGTCTGTTAAAGACCTGGAAAATCCTAGGTTCTAGCCCTAAATGGTATCACCGTTCCCAAAGTTCATTTATAATACTTTTCGCACGGGGATTGCTAATCAGGAGGCCTCAACCACCTCCAATCCCTCCCCACCTGTGGGTAAAACCATTTAACTCTAGAGAGTTAAATGACTTGCTCAAGAGAACCTTCTTAGAAATGAAACTGGGACTTCCCCAGGTATAAAAGAGCTCTCTTTTGCAGCCCTCCAAGGGCCATTACTGTGTACAGAACACCCATGAAGGCATTTCTGACATCTCCTAACAACCCTTTAGCAAGAGCCTCCCCCCATTACTGTCCAAGCCTGTCTCACATCTTCACCATTTGACTTCTCTGCCTCCTCTGCCTTACTATCTGCCCAGCCCTATAACCTGCTGTATTAGTCAGGGGTCTCCAGAAAAACAGAACCAACGGGGTAGCTACTTATCTATCTATTATAGGAGATTTATTCTGGGAATTGGCTCACAGGATTATGGAGGCTGAGAAGTCCCACACTTTGCTTGATCTTCTTTCTCTAAACTGGAGAAACAGGAAAGCAGGTGGCGTAATTCAGTCCCAGTCCAAAGGGGTGCCAGGGCCTCACTGCTATGAGTCCCAGAGCCTGAAGGACCAGGTCTCCAATGATGTCTAAAAGCAGAAGAAGATGTATGTGCCAGCTCACAAAAAGAGAGAGAATTTGCCCTTCCTCCACATTTCTGTTCTCATGGGCCCTCAAGGGATTGGATAATACCCACCCACATTGGTGAGGGCAATATTCTTTATTCAATATATCAATTCAAATGCTAAACTTTCCCAGAAACACCCTCACAGACACACCCAGAAATAATGTTTTACCAGCTGTCTGGGTGTCCCTCAGCCCACTCAAGTGGACATATAAAATTAACCATCACACCTCCCATCCTTCCAAATCTCCCCCCTCAAATACTCTATCCAGGAAGTCTTCCCTGACCGATCCTAAACCCATGGCTACACTTAACAGTCCATTCCCCCACCCCATCCCATCCCAATACCTATGTTCAAAACTGCCCTATTCCTAGTTTAGTTCTTGTTCTCCATCTGGATCTGTTTCTATGTCCTGACTCTAAGACATTCATTAGACTGGAAAACCCCTAAGGCTAATTATCTTCTAGATTTGTCCCACTCCCACCCCCTGCACACGCACTGAGCACAGCCAGGACATAAGCAAGAAGTAAGGTCTCTCTGTAGGGGATAGGGAGTGAGACTAATGAACCCCAGAACAGGAAGAAGTGAGAGAAAAAGGATGCCACCCCCTTCCCAAGACCTGCCTGGTCTCCTATCAACAGACAGAAACTTAATGGGTACAGCAAGAGTTTCAGGGAGCTGTGAGCAGTGACCCTCTGACATCAAAGGCGAGAACCACCCCTACCCTTCCAAGACTTTGGAAACTGAATTAATCATCCACCTCCTGAAGCCCATTATTTCCTGAGCTTTAATTCATACCAGACTCTCTCCCTCTCTTCGTCTCTCTCCTCCTTTGTAAATTTATCTCTATCTCTGGTCTCTTGTACAGCTTTCTCTCTGTACATGTGTCTCCCTCTGTGTACATTTCCTTGTTTCTGCTTCTTGCCCTGGAATGACTGAAATGCGAGCATTTGAGCTTCTAGAACAAGCTCCCCCATCTCCATGTATCTATGCATTTGTGTGTTTCTGACCAAAAATAAGATGGAGGG